GGGGGGGGGGGGGGGACAAGAAGAAAATAGACCATCTGTAGACATCTTTGGGAGCAACTGACCTTGCTTTTCCCAGGAAAAGCAAATTACCATTGGCTGAACGGCGATTGTACTCTCATCATCATGTCAACGACTCATCACGCTCGCGTCATGCGAGTAGAAGCTTTAAATGTCTTTGCCTGGACGCGTTACTGGGACTCTGCGACATATGTTACGTATTCTACAGACTACTATCGACGTCTTACGTTAGAAAGCTGGTTTACTAATTTAGAACAAACGCCACTGAATCGTAGCCAACAGTTACCAGCGCCGTACAAACAATTTATTGACGAGATCAAGCAAAACTAACTACGAGAAAGCGACTGGAGAACTCTAACAATTTGACTAACAACAGACGACTGTCTAACTGTGACAATAGGGACTTTAAGATCCGAGACGCGACGGCTGTAAGACGCGACCGGAAGTAAATTTTCAAAGAGGAGACATCTTGCGCATGCTCAAGCCGTCGTCCTGGTGTCACCACGTCGCGTCGAGAACGTGGGTTTTGCGAGTTTGACGTTCTGTACAAAACGTGAGTATATTTGTTCCTGTGCTTAAATTAAATGATGATATATTCCTCTAAACATGTAAAATCGGCACTCTAGGATCATTGGACGTAATTTCTGGCGACATTTTGGATCACAGAGATGGAAGGATTTTGATTATATTTAAATTTCTTTCAGGTGTACGAAGCTTATAAAATGGCACCGCCTTCGACTTCGACATCGAGCAAGGCTTGCAAGTAAGTCACGGGTTAAAACTGCAAATAGTGAATGCAGGAGTCTTCTGCATACTCTTCTTGTCTCTTGTACCGTTGCAATTCTCGATTTATTACGTTCATCTGCCGCTAAAAGCCAATTTTAAGCCTGTATTATTTAATTTAACTTTATTAAACTGCGTGTGTTTTTATGCTTCCCTTTAGTTCAGTAATGTTTTGGACACATGATCATGAAGCCGTTCTATGCAGAGAAGTCGTCAATGTAAATCCCTACACGACTAAGAAAGGGTCAACACAAAGAAGCAGTATGTGGGAAAAAATAGCAGACACCTTGAACAAATGCACTGTGCCGAAATTCAGGGTTGATAAGCGATCAGTCCGAGACCACGTGGGAATCCTTGTTTACAAGCATAAGAAGAAACTTCTAGCGTATGTATCGTAAAGCAGAACAAACTCTTCTTCGTCTATGATTTCTTCTACAAGGCACAAACAAAGCATTTCTTGGACTTTCTTAAATGATGCCATGGCTATTTCTGCGAAAGAATTGCCGAAGAATACGTGAAGAATCACACTGATAAAGAGCGGTTTGCTGCCGCGTTGTCTTGCATCGCGACGGAGATCTTAACTTTACTTTTCGCAGGCAAACGACGGCGTTCTAGTTCCAGTCCTTTATCAGCCACCGCGTTCTAGAAGTTGTCGCGTCCCAGATCTTAAAGTCCCTATTAGACGGATCGAAACGCGCCAATTACTGATTACGTGTCTTCATAGCCAATAACATCACGGCTTAACTGACAGACGATCAATAACATCGCGACGTAATTGACCAATCATAACCAGAGTATAATACCATCAGCTGACGTGATACAACTCACTTTGACTCTGAAGATGACAACCGCACAGGTTGTCGAAACGTCAGTCATTGTCAACAACAACAGTCCTATTCAGAACTACGTTCACCCGAACGATCAAACTCAACCTACTTTTGAAATGACTCCTGGGTTCAAACTTTTCACAATTCTAAAATTTCTTCGCGAGTACGGAAAGAAGGGAGAGAATAAAAGAAAATTCCACCGGACTCAGGAGCTCAATGTATACCTCAGTGAATTCATTATTGCAGCCAGAACGAATGTGAGCCGTCTTCTTACAGAGGAATCTTATCAAGCGTTGACCGTTTTCTTACAAGGCGCGAATATGGGAAAAGGCTATTCATTGATACCGAATTTTCGAGATTGAGCGGAGACGCATTGAAAGCAAAGCAAAAAATGAAATGAAAAAAAGGCCGAGGAAATAGGCCGAATGCAACTATTGCTCTCTCAGAAGAGGAAATTGACATTTTCTTTGAAAAAAAAAAAAGGACTTGGGAACAAGTTCTCCACAATCGCTACTGAACACTGTGTGGCTCATTAATAGTCTCAGAGGTTGCACAGAACAACGA